CAGGACTTTGCTATAGGCCTCCCGGGCCAGCAGTGTGGCTGCTGGCCATGCCAAGCATGGAAAAGCCCTGGATTCACTTCATGCCCTTTTCCCACCCAGAATGTTTAAAGACACAGCTGAACAAGGTGAGCAGTGCTTTGTACCCCAAGTTTTAAGGGGAGGTCAATCCTTCTGGCAGGAAAAGTTTCTACAAAACAGTGCATGCAACCAGGCCAAACAGAACTCCGAGGGATTCCCAAGGCTTGCCTCTGCCACATCCAGTCCAAGTGATCCCCAGTGTAAGTACTTTGTAAGTCAATACAGAGCTAAATTTAATTAACACGGAACAATTAAACTGTGTATTGGCAATTTCAAACAACTTTGAGTTATCAGCACCTGGGAGATGCACATCTGCATCAAAACAAAGCCCCAGCCACTCAACTCCAAGCCTGTCACTGCTGGCATTTTGACAACTGTACAACCAATTGCTCCTTCCTGACTTTCAAGCTTCCTTCCTTCTCAACCCCAGGCTGTGACACTACCCCAAAGTGGCCAAATTCTTCCCCAAAGGGGTGAAAAGGAACACTCACCTTCTGTGGGAGCTGCTGCTGGGCACTCTGCTGCTGCTGCATGACCTTGGGGATGGCAGCCGAGGGCTCCTGGGCTTTGCCCTCCTTGAACTCGCTGACCTTGTGCCGGTAGTAGGCATGGTAAGGGTCGTTGGGGTTCAGGAAGTTGAACTTGGGGTTATTGATTTCATTCTGACGAATTCGGGCTTCAAATTCTGGACCATTTCTGGGAAGCAGGAAGAAAAATTGTTCAGGTCATCAACTCGAGGATAAATGTCTCTTTCAGATTAGGACATGTTGAGGCACCAGCCCCTTGGAAGATCATTGATCATTTTCTCTCTCACACGTGAGGAGTTTCTCTCTCAGTAGCTCCACCCAGCTGAGCACACACAAGTTAGATGTAATTGTGCCCCTAATTCTGTCTTGAATGTGAATACTAAAAATGCACACTCACAAGTGTTCCACAGTCACATCTGTCTGCTCTCAAAGGTCACTTCCACCACTGGCTGGAGTTTACAGTTTTGAAGCAGGCAGTTTACAAGTCACCTACTACATCAATTTCATCTGCTCTATTAAAAAGTTCTCAAGACTAATTTCAGTTCCAGAACAATCAGATAAGGGAAAAAAAAAGCAGGTGAACATCAGCCTGTGCAGGGACTGACCAGCCCAGAGTGCTGCACTCAGGAGCCCCAGCCCAGGTAGCTTCCCCTCCTCCCCCCTAAAGCATGAGCCAGTTATTTCAGGGCAGTTTGAGAGAATCCCCAGCTGCCACAGGGTGTTCCTCTTTGTATTCTCTGGATAGCTCCCAGCCTCATTTAAACATTCCACCTCCTCCAAAAGAGGAGGTCTCTGCAATCCCAAAGGATAAACACAGACCCTTATGCTCAGAAGCAGCCAACACTCCTTGGCAGCACTTTGGAGATGAGTTACACAATAAGGCTTTGGCTGGAGCAGCATTCAGGAATTCTCAGAAACCAAACCCCACATTTGAGCACTAAAATACAGCCATGACTCCTGCACCAAGGCTCCCTTTGCACCTGGAATTTGGTTTCCACTTCAGATCATCCAGAACAGGCCCTGTTACCCAGTTATTGCAGCACCCACTGCACGTCTGAACAAGGATTTTATTTATTTACTACCAGTTTCTCCAGCAAAGGCTGTCTTACACCCTCTTCAGTAGAATTTGTTGTTTCTTTTCCAGTGTCAATCCCTAAAATCCTTCATGCAAAACCACAAAGCTGGGGCCTGCTTCAGCTTCTAGAGCTGCACGGAGCAGCAGAAGCATGAAAACCCCAGGAGAAAGAGACACCAGCAGTGCCACTTACCTGGCTACAAAGCTGGCAGTCTTGTCCACGATATTCCTGACCTCTGGAGGAGGGTAAATAATCCCCACCACAGGCTTGGCTGGTGCTGCTTCCTCTTTAGGCTCCTCTTCTGGCTGTAATAAAGAGTTTCATTGCAAAAGGGGAGCCAGGATTAGGCATTCCAAACTCACTCCCAATGGCACTCAGGAACCTTTATCCATCCTCCTCCTCAGCCCCAGTCACTGAACTGGGTGAAGGCTCTGGATCATCCATGCCACCAATTCCCTGGATTCCCAGGGCACCTGCTGCAGGGACAGCAGGACAAGGAGGGTGCCCCCATGGGAACCACAACATTTTCACTGTAGCAGCCCTGACCACCAGGCTGTTTTTAGATGCTGAGCCAGGAGGTTCCAGCAACATTTCCAGGAATAACTCATCATTCCTCACCAGCTGTGGAAGTTCTGAATCTTCCTAGGGGCCTGTGGGACCTGAATTATTAACTCCACATCAAATAAATCACAGCTTTTAATGCCATTGTAGCTGCAACAGAAGCTGTTTTGAAGAGAAAATTTCCAACACAGTGTTTTTCTCACTGATGTTACAGGAGGAGCCAAACTGAACCCCCAGAACCCTCCCTGTGCGTGGCTCTGTATTCCAGTAAAACCAGGAGCTGCTTCTGCAGGATACTGAAGATGCTGCTAGGCAGCTTCCAAGAACAGGTGTTATAAACCAGGACAGATCTGCTGGAAATGTTTGTAATCCTAACAGAGATGGTCAGGGGTAACTTAAAATCCAGGCAGAGCTCCCAGCTCTGCCAAATCCATGGAGAATCCAAGCCAGAAAATGTTCTCAGGTCAGACTGCTCCCTGGCAGGGCCCAAGGCCAGGCTGGACAGGGCTGAGCAGCCTGGGACAGTGGAAGTGTCCCTGCCCTGGCAGGAGTGGGATGGGAAGGGCTTTCAGGTCCCTCCCAATGCAAACATTCCCTAAAACACAACCCTAACAAAGAGAAAGGCACCAGGAACATTTCCAGTTTTCATTCCCACTCCCCCAGAACACCATCTTGAGGAGCTGAAGGATGGGACAACACCACACTAAAGATGTTTTATTTAACAGTGATGCTGAGTTGCCTTGGTAACATCTCAGCATAAAAGCCACTGTTTTTTGGGGGGGAATCACAATTTTCAAGTTTCTCAGTGAGAGCAGCTCCCCGTCAGCTCCAAGGCTGCTGCTGCTGCTGTGTGAGAGCCAGGACAGCAGCTCCAGCTCTGTGGGAGCTCTGTTCCCACCCCAGGAATGCAGGAGCAATGAAAATTCCCATCTCAGGCTGCAAAGAACACGAACATGGCCAAGAGAGAAAGGATTTGAGAGGTCTGGGACACACAGCCCTGCCATGCTCCTTCAGACTTTTATTCCTTTTCATTCCTGGAGCCAGAGCAGCTCCCCAGCTCCTGGCACCCCACTCTCACTGCAGGCACAGCCCTGGGCACTGCCAGGAAGGGCTCAGCTCCTGCCAGCCCCAGCAGGATCCTGCTGTCTCCAAGGAATCCTGGAATGGTTTGGGCAGGAAGGCAGCCTGGAGGTTACCTCATCCCACCCCCTGCCATGGCAGGGACACCTCCAACCATCACAGGCCCTGTCCCTGGGGCACTGCCAGGGATCCAGGGGCAGCCACAGCTGCTCTGGGCACCCTGTGCCAGGGCCTGCCCACCCTCCCAGGGAACAATTCCTAATTCCCAATATCCCATCCATCCCTGCCCTCTGGCAGTGGGAGCCATTCCCTGTGTCCTGTCCCTCCATCCCTTGTCCCCAGTCCCTCTGCAGCTCTCCTGGAGCCCCTTCAGGCCCTGCAAGGGGCTCTGAGCTCTCCCTGGAGCCTTCTCCTCTCCAGGTGAGCACCCCCAGCTCTCCCAGCCTGGCTCCAGAGCAGAGGGGCTCCAGCCCTTGCAGCATCTCTGGTGCCTCCTCTGGACTCTCCAGCAGCTCCAGGTCCCTCCCGTGCTGGGCCCAGGGCTGGGGCAGCTCTGCAGGCGGGCTCTGCCCCGAGCGGGGCACAGGGGTCAATGCAGCGCTCCGGACCAAACCGCGGCGCCCCAAGCCCAGCGCGGTCCGTGAGGGCCCCGCTCCCACAGCCCCGCGGTTCGCGCCATTCCCCGCTCCCCTCCCCTCCCTCACCGGTTTGCTCTCTGCGGGGGGCGCGGGCTGCGCCGGAGGCACAGCCTGCACGGGTCCGGCGGGCATGGCGGGGCCGGGGGCTGCGCTCGGGGGGCGGGCGAGGCTCGGTGCGGAGCGGCCGCGGCGCCGGCACCGACTGCGGCGAAATGGCGGCGGCGGGCACCGTGCCGCGCGTGCGCGCCGGACGTGACGCAAGGGCGGCGGGGGCGCAGGCGCGGATTGCCGAGAAGTGGGCGGGCACAGGAGTGGGATGTACCATTAGAGTTCCGGGGGGGTGCCCAAAGCAGGAATGCACCACTGCGGCGCGGGAGGGGCGTGGTTGCCATGGCGACAGGGAGGGACGCGCGGCCTAGCGCAGGTTCCGGGCCCCGCGCTTCTTCTCCGCGGCCGCTGCTGATTCCTGCGACCCCCCCGGTTCCCTCCGTCTTCCCGGCACTCCTGCAGACCGCGGGGCCCGGGGGGTACCGTGCCGGTCCGTCTCCAGCAGCCCGTCCCGGTAGGGCGCTCCCTCCCTGCCAGGCTCGGTGGCCCATCGCCCCCCGGCCCGGTGGCCCCGTTGTTCCCGGGCCGTGTCCCCCCGCACCATGGCGCACCTGCTGGGCCACCGCGGCTGCATGGAGAGCCTGCGGGCCGACCTGCGGGACCTGCAGGCCGCCATCGCCGACGTGTGCTCCCGGGCGGGCGCCGTGCGCTGCCCCTCCTGGAAGTTCCCCGACAAGGTGTCCTGCGAGCTGGACATCGGGGCGCTGCTGCAGCGCTACAGGCACAGCGACAGCGAGCCCGAGTTCAGCCAGCACGCACACGTGGTGCTGCTGGAGCTGCTCATTGACAGGTGAGAGGCGCCGGGAGCCCGGAGCGGCTCCTGCCCCGCGGGGAAGGGCAGCGCTGGGTCTGAGCTCACCCACGGCCTGCCGAAGGTTTGGGGCACCTCAGCACAGAGAGAACTCAAAGCTGTTAGAGAGCATCCAAATGAGGGCTGAGGGTGGCAGGGCTGAGGGTGAGAGCACCTGGACTGTTCAGCTGGAGCAAAGACTGAGTCAGATCTCAGCTCTGATCTCTGTGACCGGGGATGGGATTCAAAGAACGGCTGCAGCTGTGCCCGGGAGGTTTGGGCTGGATGTCAGGAAAAGGTTCTTCCCCCAGAGGGTGCTCAGGCACTGAACAAGTTCCCCAGGGAATGATCACAGAATCAGCTGGGTTGGAAAAAACCTTGGAGATAATCAAATGCAATTTCTGACATAACACCACCTTATCAATAAACCATGGCACCAAGTGCCACATCACAGCCCCGAGGCTGCCAGAGCTCCAGGAGCCTTTGGCCAATGCTCTCAGGCACAGGGTGGGATTGTTGGGGTGTCTGTGAAGGGCCGGGAGTTGGACTGGATGATCCCTGGGTCCCTTCCAGCTCAGAATATCCCCTGATTTTATTTTTGGATGCTTTGTTCCCCAGGTATTTCCATGATGAGCAGTGCCAGCACCATGGCCTTATGCCCTGCTGAGCTTTAAAACCCAAAACCTTTCCCTGCTTAGAGCTCCCAGCACAATCTGGCTGCAAAGAAGCCAAGCCAGAGCTGGAGCAGATGGGACAGGCTTGTTAAACTGCCTCCCAAAACCTTGGAAACACCTTTGGCTGCATCGACAGCCCTCGAGGCCAAAGCCCCTTTTGCAGTCTGGGTGAAATAAATACAGCTCTGGTTTAAAAGATGAGCCATTCCCACTGAGCTGCTGGCCCTAAAAGTCAGGATTTGCAGCAGCACGGGTGCCCCCAGTGTTTGTGGGGAGCTTCATCACAGCCTCTGGGAAGCGGCTGTGATCACACCGGGGCAGTCCTGGGAGCAGCAATCCCCCCTCCTGCATCCCAGCGCTTTGTCTGCCCGGGGAGGGGGCCCGGCGGCCCCCCAGCTGCAGGCCGTGCTTTCCCTCGGCACAGGCTGCTGCTGCTGCTGCAGAGCTTCACGGGCTACGCGGACGCGGTGCTGAGCGGGCGCGCGGTGCCGCCGCCGCGGGGCCCGGCGCCCTGCATGTCCGCGGGGCTCACGGCCACCACCTTCTGGGGCGCCATGCTGAGACTCGGCGCCTTCTGCCAGCAGCTCCGCGAGCAGGTGGGACATGTGGGGACGTGCCATGAGCTGAGTCACCCCCCTCCCCGCCCGGGTTTGGATCGTGGTCCTTCTCAAGGCCCTGTGGCCGCGCCAGATGTGCGTGCACCCCCCGAGTGCTGGCCCTGTGTCACACATCTGTCCCCTCCCAGCCCGAGTCCCTTCCCTCCGCCCCTCCCGGCTGTGCCACTGCATCCGTCCTGCTCCAGCATCTCGGGATGAGGGAGCTGGGCTGCCTCTAGGGCTTGGAAAATGTTCTCCTATTGCCAAAATGCTGCAGCTCTGCTGATCCCACTGTGGATCTGAGCTGACTCAAGACAGTGAAATAATTGGTGGTAAAAACAACCTCTCCTGCATTTTATTTTCCCCAAAATGATCTTTCTCATGGCAGAGTCTCACAACAATCCATGTGGCAAAACCAGAAGGCAGTGCAGGGAGTGGGACAGAAGGGATGGTGAGGAGTTGAGGACTAGGTTTTGCTGCTGAGGCTTGCCTGTGGTCACTGTCCCTTGGCTGCATTGCTGTCCCGTCTCCACACCTGATTTAGGCTTTTATGGGTCATTTCCACTTTGATCTGGGCTCTGGTTTTGTTCTGTGTTCTCTCCCTTGGGAGAAGGGTTGCAGGTGGGAGATCCCCCCACAGCAATCCACTCCACCCTCTGCTCCCCAGGCTGGGAAACACCAGAAGGAGCACCTGGAATGCTTGCCAGAAGTTTTGGAGTCAGGGACTCCCCCGGAGGCTGCCCAGCCCACTTCTGTGTGCCCAAATCCCAGTGCCCAGCCCAGGGCTGGCCCCAGCCTGGCTCCGAGCACCCGCAGTGTCCCCACGCAGACCCCGGGGTCACCCCTGGGCTCCTGTGACACCTGCTCCAGCGCCCAGGCCAGCCTCCACGAGGTGGGCAGAGCCATCACCAGCATCTGCCAGAGCCAGAACATCCCTTCAGCTCTCAGCAAATTCCAGGAGGTGCTGGGGGACAGCGCAGGGAGAAGGAACCTCTCTGCCACAGACATGAGCTACTGGGCCTCGGAGCAGAGCAAGGACCTCTCCCGGATCAACAAACACCTCCAGGGGCTGCTGCAGCAGGTGAACCCCCTGAAGGCTGAGCTGGCAGAGATGGCCAAACAGAAGGAGAAGCTGCAGAAACAGGTCGAGGACTTTTCCAGGAAGCTGCAGGCAGAGAAGGACATCCAGGCAGAGCAGCAGAAGAAGGCTGAGCAGAGCCTGAAAGCCAAGGAAAAGGAGTGTTCCAAGGCTGTGGCCAGGCTGGAGCAGGACAAGGACGACCTCAGGAGAGGTAGAGAGCTGTTCCCAGTTGTTCCCAATGTCCCCTCTGTCCTGGGAATATGGGGGCCCTGCCCTTGACACCCTCCCAGGCTTGGGGGTATTTTCAGGAAGAAGAACAGAGTCCATGGGCAAATTTTGGCCCCACCACAACCAGCAGAGCCTTTTGTAGCTGCTGGGGGATTTTCCCTGCTCTGAGGCCAATCCTGGGCCCTGGGAGCTGGCTGTGTGTGTGTGTCCTATCACTGTCTCCTCCCTGGTAACACGGCACAGTCACTGCATGAAAACACTTTGGTGTGGCTGTTTGCTGCCCCTTGGTTTAGTTGTTTTTGAAAAACTGATTAATGAGAGGGGTTTTGTGCTGGTTTAGGAGCTGCTCTGCTGGAGGAGCAACTCTCGACCCTGAAGGAGGAGCTGGCAGCAAAGGAGGTGGCTGTGCAGGAGCTGGGTAAGAGGCTCACCAGCTCACACATGCCCCCCTCACCCTGGCCTCATGAGTGTTTCACACCCCTGTAGCCCCCAGCATGCCCCAGGCTGAGCTGCAGAGCTGTGGGGATGGGCAGAGGATGGGCCTCCTTCACAGCAGCACCCCAGCATCACCCAGTGCCCCAGTGGGCTGATGCTGGTAGAGGTTTGGGGGCTCACAGGCCTCCTGTCAGACCTGTCTCCCTTTGCCAGGGCTTTTGGAGGGCATGGGGTGCCCCTGAACCACAGAATCATGGACTGGTTTGGTGGGCAGAGACATTAAAGCCCATCCCATTTCACCCCCTGCCATGGGCAGGGACACCTTCCACTATCCTAGGGTGCTCCAAACCCTAAGATAGTGCCCAGCCTGGCCTTGGGCACTGCCAGGGATCCAGGGGCAGTCACAGCTTCTCTGGGCACCTTGTGCCAGGGCCTCCCCACCCTCCCAGGAAATAATCTCTTCCCCCTATCCCATCTAACCCTGCCCTCTGGCAGTGGCCATTCCCCCTTTTCTGTCACTCCAGGCCCTTGTCCCAAGTTCCTCTCCAGCTCTTTTGGAGCCCATTTAGGCACTGGAAAGGGTTTTTAAGTTCTCTCTGGAGCCTTCTCTTCTCCAGGCTGAGCACCCCCATCCCTCTCATCACCTCCATGGTCCTGCAGCCTCTCTGCCCTGCCCAGCCTGGGCCATGGTGGCTGTGTCTTCCCAGAGCTCTCCAGAACCACCTTGCTGGAGGAGATGAGCACCTCAATGGTGGCCCGGAGCCAGGTGCTGGCATTGGAGGAGAAGGTGCAGGTGCTCACAGGCCAGAGGGACAGGCTGGAGCAGGAGCTGAGTGCCAGCAGCGTGCGGCTGGAGAAGGAGAAGGTCCGTGTGGAGAGCATGTTCCGGCACGAGGAGGTGCGGCCGCCTGCGGAGCCGCGGGACAGCTGAGCTGCTGCTGCTCTCAGGGCTCTGGGAATGGGTGCCACAGCCCCACACGGGCTCACCCCCCACCACAGTCCCTGCAGGCCAAGCAGAGGACCCTGCTGCAGCAGCTGGACAGCCTGGACCAGGAGCGTGAGGAGCTGCAGGCCAGCCTGGGAGAGGCCGAGGAGGACAAGGCCCGGCTGGTGGAGCAGCTGGAGCAGAGCCAGGAGCAGAGTGGGAAACAGCTCCAGGCACAGCAGGTGAGTGCTGGTACCCAGGTGTGGGACACAGCCTGTGCCACAGGGCTGTCAGGAGCCACACACTGCCCTGCCCACAGCCACAGCCAGTTTTCCCAGGAGGGATACCCTGGGACCTAGGGTGACATTGCCACATGGCCACAACCTCAGGGGATTCCCTGGGGAAGAGGCCTCTCCCTCCACCCTCTGCCATACTCTGGTTGAGTCAGGTCAGAGGAGAGCAGCAGGAAAGGACACCTTGAGGTGCTTTCACATCTCTAGTGTTCTGTTCTTCGACACCAGGACACGCTGCACACTTTGTAGTTGGTGTTCCTGCTCCCAGCACACACAGGGATCTCACAGCTAAAACCCTGCACATTGTCCACTTCCAACAGGACACCCTTATCATCAGGGAAGGGTGGGAGCTTTTCCATGAGAGGCCAAGTCCTCATTCTTCAGAACTTCATCTCCTCTCCACTGTGCCACGCAGGAGGTGCTGGATACGCTGCAGCAGGAGAAGCTGGCACTGGAGCAATCCATCCTGGAGCTGCAGGCAAACACATCCCGGCTGCAGGAACAGGCACAGGAGCTGAGGGAGCGGGAAAGGCTCCTGGTGTTCTTCCCCGATCTCCACACGCCCACTGAGACGCAGTTTGAGAGTAAGGGAGCAGATGGAAGCACAGTGGGTTTGTGCCTTGGGGTCTCCAGAGCTCCCAGGGGATCCTGCTGGTCCCAGACACTCCCACTGATACCCAGGAAGGGCTCAGACCCCGTGTGAAGCTGTGACCATCCCACCGTGCTTCCCTGCAGGGGTGCTGTGCATCCCACACAGGGCCAGCACACAGAGCAGGACCAGGACATGGCAGAGCTTCCCTTGCCCACAGGGCCTGGGGTCCCAGCTGTCACCTCCCGGGCTGTGCTGCTGCTCCCTGCCCGGGGCAGGCAGGAGGGGTGCCCACGCCTCTCAGCAGACAGGCAGCAGCAGCAGGCCTGGCTCTGTTGGATTTTGTTTGCAGGCAGTGGGAACTTTACAGAGGACATGAAGAGCCAGCTCCAGGCCAACAAGATCCGGATCGAGGTGCTGGAGCGGGAGAACGCGCAGCTCGAGGCTCTGCTCGCCAAGGTGAAGGCAGCAGCCGAGCAGGGCGTGCTCAAGGTGAGCTGTGTACCCCAAAACCACCCCATGGCCCCCAGACATCCTCTGGGGACCCCAGGAGGGCCAAGCCCAAGCTCCTCATGCTGCTGGGAGGTTGCTCTGGTTTAACTGGTGTTGCCTGAGGTGCCCAGGGCTGGTTCCAGCTCCTTTCCATCGTTGTGGCCATCGTGCCACCAGTTGTGGTGGCCAAGGGATGTGACTGGAGCTGAAGCTGGTGGGGGAGATATTTCACCTCCTCTTCCTTTCCCCAGCTCATCCCAGAGGCCCAGCTGGGGTCCCAGCTCCACAGGGAGGCCAGCAGGCAGGACATTGCGTGAGTAGGAACCCAGAGGAAGGAGCTGGGGGCGGGTTCCCTCTCTTCCTCCCCTTTGACTGCTCCCACCCCGCAGGCGGCTCAGCAGCGGGAGCAGCAGGGACAGCACAGGGATGTCAGGAAGCATTGACAAGGCCTGGCACAGAGCTCCCAGCAGCCAGCACTCCAAGAAACTGCGGGCAGAGCCCACACCCCAGGCCAAACCGTGCCTCACGCTTCCAGTGCGACACCTGGGGCTTGGCCTCACCTCGCTCCACACCGGGGCTCACCGCAAATAAACACACATCAGTCTGAATTTCCTGACAATTGTTCCACCTGCCCTGCCCAGGGGACCTCGTTACCTGTTCTTTGTGCATCAGCAAGGGAAACCTGGGCTCTGCCTGGTTCCTTGGGGAGCTGCTTTAGGGACGTTCCTGGGCACTGGGATCAGTCACCCATGGCTACGCTGCTGCTGGAGTCCCCAGAAGAGCCCCGGGGCTGATGCCAGGGCACAGCGTGTGCTGGCTCCTGCCAGGAACCATTCCCAAGAGGGGACTGGGATGTGGCCACACTTGGAAGAGGAAAGCAGAGCTGGCCTGGGATGAGAGGAGTCCAAACCACCCTCAGCCCACCAGCACAGGCACAACCTGGGAAAGTTATTCCCCCCTCCATGAGCACCAAGGGGCTGGGAACCACCGAGTCACTGGCACAGGCTGGCCCTGACCTCTGAGCTGCATCCCCAGCACTGTGAGCCCCGTGCAAGCCCCACACAAACCACACAGCCAGCCCTTGCTCCATGTTTAATAGGGATGGACACGTTACAGCCCGTGGGGCAGGGCCCACAGTGTGTCCCCAGTGACCGTGCTGGTGAGCTGAGCCCTGTGCTGGCTCTGCAGCTGACTCGTGCCATCCTTTCCCATAAGTTATTATAAATAAAGTGTCCAACCCCTGCCCCCCCACAGTGAGGCCGTGAGCCACCCCACAGCCTTGCCAGCCCAGTCCTGGGTCTGTCACCCACCTCCCAGAGGGGCTGGCACTGCAGCCAGGCTCTGCCTACCCTGCCACGGCCACCAGCAAATAGACAAAAACCCCAAGACTTAGAAAAATTGCTGTGAGCAGGGCAAGAGCACAGCAGGACCAGGGCTCTCCCTGCCCCAGCCCCCACCCCGTTACACCCATGGGTGCCCCAAATCTTCCCTCCCCAACACTGCCCATCTGGACCCCCCACCCCTCTACTCACACCCAGCAGGAGAGGCCAAAGTCCTTCCCTCTCCGAAGTCTGGGCACTGTGATGGGCACAGCCACACCAATCCTGCTCCAGCAGCAAGTGCCACTCGCTGGGCACCCCCTGCCCCCTCCCTGTCCCTGGAGCAGCCGTGGGTCTGTCCCTGGAGTGTGTCCTCAGGCCAGCTAGCTGTCTGTGCAGCAGTTCCCTGCAAGGGAGGACAGACAGCTTGGCACAAGGAGCCTGGCAGGCTCCAGGTCCTCCCCAGGCTGTGCCCCAGGCCCAGCAGGGGCTCAGCTGGGTGCCAGGGCAGTTCTCACCTAGGATGTTGCGCTTGCAGAGAGGGCAGGTCTGCTGCAGCAGGAGCCAGGGATCCACACAGTCCCGGTGGAACTCATGGGAGCAGGGCAGCACCCGCAGCCACTGCCAGCAGGGAAGTGAGGGCACGTGTGAGCACAGCTGGGTGGCAGGGACACAGCCCAGACCCTGGCAGGGACACCCCGGCCCCGGCCAGTGAGCAGAGGCTCGGCCCAGGGTGGGCTGCAGTCCCACCTGGCTCTTGTGGAACTGGTCCAGACACACAGCACAGCTGTCGATCTCACAGGCCCGGCTCCGGGGCGGCTTCCCAGGATGGTACCGCCGGGTTTTCAGCGCCAGCAGCCGCCGCCGGATGTGCTGCTTCAGGTCCAGCTGCAGGGCAGAGCCCAGGGTCAGAGCCCACCCCGAGCCCGGCACAGCACCCAGCAGAGACATCCCCACACTCCCACCTCGGCGTCCCGCTCCGACAGGTCCTGCCGCGACTGGCGCTGGGCCTGCACCATGACGCCGGTGCAGAGCAGCAGGGCGATCAGCAGGATGGTGTTCCACAGCTGCTGCAGGTACTTCTGTGGGGACAGCGCCGTGGGCACGGGAGCCACAGAGCCAGCCCCGCTCCCGGCCCCACTGGCGGCCCCGTGCCGTACCTGGACCTGCGAGCTGCTCTCCCCGGGGCAGATGACCCCCTGCCACTCCCCGTAGAGGCCCCCTCGGGACAGGCCGCAGGTGGACCACAGCGTGAGGGTCACTCCCTGCAAGGCAGGACACGGCATTGCCCATGGCCACAGCAGCGTCCGGCGACGCCAGCACACGTGTTGAGGAGGAGCACTGGTGCTGCCAGCTGCCCTGCTCCCATGGGCTCCCCTCCCTGCTCCCTGCAGCTGCTTCCCATGCATCGGAGAAGTTTGGCTGGGCACAGCCATGCCCTGCTCTCCCACTGGCAGAATGAGGAAGAGGAGGACAGACAAACATACCAGGTTCTCCAGCAGCACTGCCTGGTACGTGATCTTCGCCGTAGCCCGGAGCCCACTGTGAGCAAGGAGAAAAGTGTCAATTCCATGGACACAGCAGGATTCAGGCACAGCTCCCCTGTGCCAGGGAGCACCCCTTTCCCACAGGGACGGGCAGTGACCGAGGGGGACTAGAGGAACATGCAGGGGAGGTGACATCAAGACACTTCCTCCCCAGCTGTGCCCAGCCCTCAGTGACCCTGCACAGAGCTCTTGCTCCCAACCTTGTGCCTCAGTTTCCCCATGTGTGACACCACGGCAGCAATCCCAATGTCCCACATGTCAGGAGGATAGACAGGGTCCCACTGCTGATGGTGGTGAGAACAAACACCCAGAGGCTGTGGGGATGGCGGTGCCATGACAACAACCAACTGGTCTGGAAAAGTTCTACTAAGAGTCCTAAAGCTCTTGGCTGAGGCCACCTGCCACTACATGGGGACCCATGGAAGGGCTCCAGCCCTGGAGAAGGGCTGGATCTGACCCAAATCTCCCCTAGAAACACATCTCAGCCCCAGCTGGCCTTGGCACAGCTCAACACCACCCCAGCAAACATGATGGGCTGAGTGAGAGACGCCCAGGGTGGTCCCTGGGTGCTGCAGCCTGCGGGGGACAAGGACAAGGCAGTGACAAGGCAGGGAGCAGGCAGGCCCAGCCCCTCCCACGGCCAGGCCGTACCGCAGCAGCGCTCCCAGCAGCCTGGTGACATTGTCCGAGGACTGGATGACGATGACGGGCTTGGCGAGCAGCTGGGACACGTCCAGCTGCAGCGGGAGGGAAGGGGAGCAGTCAGGGGGGCACGGCCCCCGCCCGGCCCCGCCGCCGGCACTGCCCTACCTCACGGATGGCGTTCTGGTTCAGCGCCAGGATGAGCAGGGCAGAGGCCCCCAGCACCAGGGCTCGCTTCATCTGCGGGGACAGCGGGGACACCATCAGGGGACAGCAGCGCTGTGTCCCTGACAAGCTCCTGTCCTGCTGCAGGAAGCACCCAGCACCTCTCTGCCACGGTGAAGGGTCAGAAGGGACCCAAGAGGGGTCAGAAGCTGTCAAGAGATCCCTTGGCCACTAAGCACAGACCAGGACCCCCCAGATGTGGCCAGGAGACACCCCAGGTGACACCCCTGTGGGTTTGTGACCTGCAAACACCACAGCAGCCCTCAGGTCTGGCAGGGGACAGGGCCAGGCAGAGGAGACAGGGTCACACAGAGGATCACCTTGGTGACAACGGCGGTGGTGAAGGACTCCTCCTTGGCACCCCGGGGGCCCTCGGCCGGCTCCTCGGTGCCCACGGGCACCACCCCGATCCAGCTGTCAGCAGCACTCAGCTCCGGCTCCACGTCACCCACCTGGAGACATGGCAAGACACGGAGAGCTGGGATGGACCCCAAGGTTCAGAGCACCCCCGAAGCACCCACATGCCCCAGGGGTCCTGGGGAGCCAGGCACAGTGTGGGGACAGGGACAGCAGCTGGGGTAACACAGGGAAAACGGCCTGGCCTGCACTGCCTCGGTGTCCCTGCCGGCACCTCCTCTGTGCTGCTGGCCACACCCGAGCAGTGGCTGCCTGCCCTGGCCAGTCACCCAGCGCCTCTGGCCTCCCCACCAATCCCCCAGTGCCTCCCAGTGCCCTTCAGCTCCCACTCCTCCCCTGCCTCACTCCTTTCCCAGTGCCCAAGGACTCACCCCAGCACCCACCGGCCCACAGTGTCCCCTCCCTCCCTCCCTCCCTCCCTCCCACTGACCACTGCCCCGCCAATGCCCCCTGGTTTCTTAATGTCCCCTGTTGCCACTGCTTCCCCCTCATCACTGCCCCCCAGCACGCACGTCCCCAGCCCCGCACCCCTCGGTGTCACCCAGTGCCCCCAGTCCCCACCGTTCCCCTCCCTCCCTGCCCCATGCACCCCCAATGTCGACGGGGACGGGGACACGGGGACCGGGATGGGGACAGGGATGGGGACGGGGACGGGGACGGGGATGGGGACGGGGACGGGGATGGGGACGGGGATTGGGACAGGGATGGGGACAGGGATTGGGACAGGGACAGGGACGTGGACAGGGATTGGGACAGGGATGGGGACAGGGACGGGGACGGGGATGGGGACAGGGATTGGGATTGGGACAGGGACAGGGATGGGGACAGGGATCGGGATGGGGACAGGGACAGGGATTGGGATGGGGACAGGGACAGGGACAAGGACAGGGATCGGAACAGGGATCGGGGACAGGGATTGGGATGGGGACAGGGACAAGGACAGGGATGGGGACACGGATGGAGACAGGGACAGGGATCGGGACAGGGATCGGGATTGGGATCGGGACAGGGATGGGAATGAGGACCGGGACAGGGATTGGGACAAGGATCGGAACAAGGACAGGGATTGGGACAGGGACAGGGATCGGGACAGAGATTGGGACAAGGACAGGGATCGGGACAAGGACATGGACAGGGATCAGGATGGGGATCAGGACAAGGACAGGGATCAGGATGGGGACTGGGACAAGGACAGGGACAGGGATCGGGACAAGGGTCTGGATAACAACAGGAACAGGGGATGGGGATGGGGACAGGGACAAGGGTTGGGATAAGGACAGGGACAGGAACCAGCGCTGGGACAGGGATAGCGGCCAGGGGAAAGGAGATAGGGATGCAGACCAGGATGAGGACAGAAAGCAGGAGAGGCACAGTGACAGGGAGCAGGGACCAAGACTGAGACAGGGACAAGGACCATGACCAAGCTGGACACTTGGACAGAGCAGGGACAAAGAAGGTGATGGGGACCAGGAAGATGGCAGGCACCAGGAGAGGAACAGGGACAGGGATGGAGATCTAAACACGGACAAGGGCTGAGACTGGGCTGGGAACCAGCACTGGGACAGGGATGGGGCAGGGACAAGGACAAGGACAAGGATGATACAGGGATGGGAACAGAAGCAGGAACCAGGTGGAAAACAGGAGCAAGGAGAGGCACTGGAAGAACAACAGGAAGTGAGACCAGCATGGGGACAAAGCCAGGACCAGGATGGGGACAGGGAGAGGGACCAGGAGGAGGAGGGAATCAGGAAAGAAACAGGGGCAGGGACTGGGAGCAGGACAGGGACAAGCACTGGGA